AAAAAATACTCTAAGTTGATAAAAGAACAGAGTCTGGTATAAACTTCTGCAGTATTTATAAATAACTTCTACCGACCAAGTTGGCCTGACCGTGAACGTTTCTGATTCGTATTCGGGATGTACCCAGCTCGAATCTCGCCCTGGACACCGCCTATCCTGATGGAGGTTTTCTTTTTATGGATTTCGTCTCTCCCTCCAGGCAAATGCAGCAAAAGCACCATCAATTACACCATGACTGCTTCATTGGACATAGCTTCCAATTTACTATTCACTACCGCGCATTCAGCCAACGCCACATAGTCCAAATTACTGATTGCAACATTAAATGTACTACATAACAACATGCAGTAGTTGGTTGAGACACTATGCTACAAGCCGGAAGGTCGCGGGATCAAGACCCGATGAGGTCATTGATTTTTTTCAATTGACCTAATACTTCCAGCCGCACTATGGCCCTGGGGAGTAAAGCGCGGCTGTCGCGTAAGGCTGACAAACTTACCGCCATCTTTGAGCTGATTGTCTAGATAATATGGGAGCCTCAACGTCTCACAACCCTATGGGCCTCCACTGCCTGTTACAGGGATAACTTTACTTTACTTAACAACATACAGAATTCCATATCAGTTCACTGTCATAATATGTGTATCTGAGGGTTCCACCCACCCATGTCTTGTTCTTCCTAGTTATCTCTTTCCTTCTGGCTTCCCCACCAATATCCTGTATGCATTCCTCTTCTCGCCCATTCGTGCTGCATGCCCTGTCCACCTCATCTTCCTTGACTTGGTCATTCTACTTACACTTGGAGAAGAGTTCAAGTTATGTAGCTCCTTCTCATGTAGTTTTCTCCAACCTCTTGTCATTTCATCTCTCTTCTGTCCACATATTCTCCTGAGCACCCTGTCCTGATGAGTACTAAGGTGAAACTGAGAATTTATTCCATAAATTCAGTTGTTAGACCTACTATTTTGTCATATTCAAACTTCCATTTTCATTCTGGCAACTGACTAGTGATGTACTGAGTCCTTGGAGAATGAGATCACTTGAACGAGTTAAAACTACTTTATTTCATAAAATTATGTGTTATAAAATGTCTTTAACAATGTAAGGAAGGATTCTGGTAACAGATGAATGTATACGAAAGCTGTGTGGATAACTTTGTTCTTATATTATTTGATGTGATACATTTTCAGTCAGGTACCTGTACTGTAGATATATGAAATTAGTTCAGAGCTCACCAGCATTAAATAATTTATTGCTTACTACCTTGTCCTAGCATAAAATATGATTTTGAATGCTTCTCTCTTTGTTGTTTGGGTTGCCGAGTTTGAATTTTTACCAGGACACCAATTATTCTGAAGGAGAATGTTTGTGGTCCTCCTCACTCCTTCAGAGATAATACTTTAAGACCACTTCTTGCTTCATCCTCTCCATTATTTACTGTCACCCAACTATGTGATGTTATACAGCCTGAGTTAGTGACAGTGTCATTAAATAAACTATGAACAAACAAATAAAATTGTACCTTGTTTGATCATGCTTTCTTGTGAAATTATTGAAGATGGGCTGCTATGACTTATAGCTTGGAGCTGTTGTTCTGTAAGTGCATTCATTTCAGGTTAATTAGCTGGTGGTTGTTCTGTGAAACCTGGTATGTGCATTTGAGTTGTTTCAGTAAATGATTTATTGTCTGCTTATGTCCACAGGGGGCTTGAGTAGAGGTGTGTTGTGTAGCACTGTGGCTGTGGGTTAGTTAGTCACTCTCTCTCTTAGTGATGTATCTACTGTGTTGTCGTCTTCTTCAACACCATGAACTAAATCTCGATTTTTGACATTCAAGCAACATCATCTTGATACGTTATAGGATCCGATGTAATAATGAGTAGTTTAAAAAACTAGTTAGTTATCAGGTAGCTTTTCTGGTGAGATCATATTAACTGCCATGGGTATGCTCGTGATGTACATTATGAAATTACCTGCAGTCCTTTTATGAAACATTTTTTCATGTGCTTGAACATAAAAATCTAGTTATGATGCATTACACTTTGAGGTTAGGTTCATGCAAGAAGATGGAGACAGCTATTTACTATGACAAGTTCTCTCTTCTGGGATATAACTCTTCAAAGTCACTACCGTGAGACCTCAAATCCAAAAAAGTATTTACTAGATCCAGATCCATCTGTTGTATTCTCTCTCTCCAACACATTGTGCAATTTATATAATAGAGCAGTGAAATGATTCATAATTAACCAAGAAGAATATGGCTGTTAGGATTAATGTTACATGTAAAGACTGTGATGTTAAATCACATGACTAAAGAATCTATCTAATCTGCATCTCATGATTTCTGAACCATCTGAATGATACTATACTAACATAATAAAGAGGAAGCACTTGAAAAATGGAACATGAAGGCTGTGCCACTTCTGCATTGAGGAGTATTTTAGACTTTGCAGTTCAGAGATTTTGTCAGGTCTCCTTTAATCCTGTAGGCTGCAGGACAATTAAACAAGTAAGCATAACACTTTCTTCTCTTTAGCAAGGGAGAATTCTGTTTCCTCCCTTCTGTAAGGGGTCATATGTAGATGTGGCAGGCATCTTACTGCATCATGCCATGAAAGAAAGTGGTTAGTGACTTGCTAGCTTCTCCAATATATTGTCATTACAAAGTATATATAATTTTATTCTGAAACTGTTTCCAATCTGTTGCTTATGGCATGAATATTGCTATTGTTTGACAAGGGGTCCTTAAACAGTATAAAATGGTGTGGCAGCGATCAGAATTAAAAGAATTTATATCCAGAGTGCCATTGACTTAAGGCAGTAGAAGACAACAGTGTTTTTTAATCAGTAGGTGGGTTTGTAAGGAAATTTATCCTCTGATGTTTGGTACTGTTTTGATTTACACAGTAACACTTAGGTTATACTGTTTGGTGTTTTAAAAGCTATTTAAGGTGAGGAAAATAGACAGCATATACATTGACACCTCTTATGTGGATAAAATAATGTTAATGAAGACCAGTTACAAGAAAATATCCCTGAATGAGTCAGCCCTCTCGGGAGTTTTAATATACTGTCATGTATAAGGGAGCTTGCATGAGGAATAACTACACTTGTTTACAATTACAGTTGATTATAACAGCTCACACATTGAACTCCTCCTGGATAATGAATCTCTCACTCCTGTCTGAACCCCTGACTGGTCTTTAGTCTCTCGAATTCTGGCTCCAAGTCCAAGTCACATTGCGACTGATGGTCAGTCAGTCTGTCTGACTTGGTGTTGAGCCCTGGCTTGGGCTCATGACCTTTTTTTTTTTTCTTTTCTGAAATTTACTTTCATTTTCTCTGACGAGAGGTCGGGTCTGTCATTTGTCAGTCCTAGTCCATATTAGTAAGTCCGTTGTCACGTTCCCACCTCATGACTCGTAGTACGCGGGTTCAAATACCCGGCGGAGGTCGTCGAATTTTTAAGGGCGGAAAAATTCAGGGAACAAGTCCTCCGGGAGGGACTTTAAGCCGTGGGTCCCATGTCGTAGCTTTACGGCACGTAAAAGAACCTCATATCTCCAAAGGAGGTCACTGAGCCAAATTTACGGACATTTCCCGCCCAACAGCAGTCTCTAATACCTCTGGTAGATGGGGGAAGCATTATAGATACCTCTCAGCTAGTAGAGCCGGTCTCGCTGGCTGGGCGGGACTGATGGTAAGCACCAGTACCGGTAGGATATAGAGACTGGTAGAAATCATAGAGGGAAGCACAATGGACCAATACAGGTCTCAGTGCATGGGGAAACCCACCCTCTCCAATAACTAACTAACTAACTAACTAACTAACTAACTAAGTCCATTGTCAGTATTTACATATATTTACAAATTTAATCTTAATTCATATTTCTAAGTACAACATATACATGGCTAAGTACAGCAGATTCTGGCTCTCTGCTTCCACTGGCTTTTATAACTGCTAGGTGGTTTTGTTGGAGGTTGGTAGATTAGAACATTAAACTGAAGAAAACCTTACAAGGGAAAAATTGACACAGATTATTTACCTGAGATTGTTGAAGTGAAGCCTCATATGAAGTAAAGTTGTCCCTGTGCTAAACTAAGTAAGCACTATGCCATGAAGATGTATAGAAAAGTGAATGTATAGATCCACGTTTTCTTGACCTCAGCACTAGTTGAAGGTGAGTGGTCAGCGTCACGCCCCGCATGCTTTACCCCCGTATAGGATAAGAGGCTGGGTGGGCCCCAGAACCAGTCTGGACGACATGGAGAAATGAAAATTTTTGCCCCCACAGGGACTCGAACTCCGACTCCTTGGTTGTCCAGCCTGTAGCCAGTTGCTATGCCAACTCATCATATGAGGTCAAATCTTAAAAAAATGACACGCATGAAATGTACTTTGATGAAGTGTGTGATCAGTAAAACCAAATACCGGCATGCTTCACAGGTCTCGAAATGGCAATTACATGTATGCCAAGGGTTTGAATAATGCAGTGTTTCTATACTTCGTTTTTCTTCTCTGAGGAATTTAATTTAAAGAAAGTGAAATTTTCTTGTAGGTTATTATCCAAAGTATGTAATGCCGTAACGGAGAGAAATAAGGGTATATATGGTATCAGGTTTCATCTCATAATATTAGAGATGATTTCAAATAGCTATAATACATAAGTTTCTGCTTCTCTTGTTAAGACTGTAATGATCGAGTGTGTATATATTCTGATTATTTGGGAAATTGTATAAAGCCTTAAATTAGCACTCTCAGTGACTTCATTGGCCTGGCTTTCAATACAGATAGAATGCTAAGTGCATAAGTATCAGAGTAAATTATTCCAAAAATTGAGGAAATGCATGGATGGGATTTTGAAGGGAAGAAAATCAATATTTTTTTTTTTCATAGAATTCATGTAAGGGCATGAAACATGGTAATTGAACATAAAATTTAAGTCTGTGTTGTTTTTAGAGGAGAATAGTGATTCAGAAATTATGTATTTATGTTCTAGATGGCCGAGGTGCAACACGCAAGAAACGGAAGGTGAGTGGCACTAGTGGCTTTTCTGGCGTGTCAGTATCACAACTCTTGGCACAGAGGGAACGGAACCTCACTGCCGGAACACCTCAAGGCAAAGAGCCTGCTGCTAGGGCACTACAGGTCAGTAAAATGTATACAGCCCATTTGTGGGCCCAGAGACTGGTGACCGAGTTCATATTCAGGTACATCACTCCCAGCAGAAACACATACTTCGTTTGTGGTTTATAATTAGAAAAGTGGCATACACAGCAAGTTCGGTATCTTCTTCTTATCAAATTTGGAAGTTTATTGGCAGTTGACTTAAGAAGTGATGTGGCACAATTTATTTCAGGTCACATGTTATGAATAACTTTATGTACTTGTAGTATATAAATGGCATTGTATTCTGAAAGTGTGTTTCTATTTTAAATTAAATTATTTGGATTAATTTTCGTTTGATGATGGTTGTGTAGAATTGCCAAATAACTGCATGAAATCTGTGATTCCCAGAACATCCGAGCCTTTATCGTTACTTACTTTTAAGATAATTAGACAGTTTAATTTGTAAAGAATTTACTCAGTGTACTAAAATTATTTTACAGTGCAGTACAACTTCTTATGACCAGCATACATCCTTGAGTATATTCTGCATTGCAGTAACAGCTTTATCTTTAATTTACCAGAGGTATACAAATATTGAATATAAAATTGAATGGATCAAAACACACACACAAGGCTGTAATTTTGTGGCTTTTTATTTTTGTATTTTAATGGGCAGGAGTATTTAAAATTACACAGCACTTATAAACATTAAGGTGCTGACATCATTAACACGTCATAAGAAATCGTGTGTGTAGGGGGGACGGGTGTTGTATGATGCATTTGAGGTTTCATATGTCTTGTGTTTCAAAAGAACCACTTCAGGCTTAGAGACTAAGCTCTTACTACCAATGTCAACTATGATTTCTTTTTATTTCTGTAAAATTTCTAATGAAGATTAATGAAATGCGTAATAAAGTTTACCTTTAGTCAAGTGAGTGTAGGAACACCTGTCTGCTCCTGAGGTGACCACAAGTAGTAACATACCTCAATATGGTTATGAACTTCAGTAAATATGTGTTTGTATGCTTTTAGTGAAGCATTTGTTGTTCTTGTCTCTCTTCACAGTGTGCATTACCATCTGCAATAGTAATATAGAAGGTAGCATACATTTCTGTTTGAAGGTTCGGGGCCCATGGAAGATGAAAAAAAAAAAAAGAAAACATGTTAATCTTAGTGAGATGTTGCTAGTACAACAGGATGGTACAGACCAAAGCAGAACGTGGCAGAATGCATTTCGGTTAGAGGGTGAAAACCTTGCAGAGATGCACCATAAGAAATTTTGAAGAAAAACAGTGATAATATATTTATTGTTCAGAGCTCACCCATGAGTGACTGAAATGGGAAATATGGAATTTGTGATTATGTTGAGATTATTATAGTTGTGTCTGTGATACATTGTACTAATTACATATACTGTCTGTTCACACAGAACTGGAGTACAGGGCCATCCTCTGCAGGGACAACTCAACACCCTCCAACAGGTGGTCCACAGATACCAAACAGGGCTCAGTTTCCAGCTCCCAACTTCGGTTCTGATGCTAATGTCATTCAAGGGGTTAACGCTTCTCCACAGTTCGTCCGTTACACAACCCCGAACGGAGGAGTCACTTCTACCATCTTAGGTGGAAATATCATGGTCCATCCAAACACATCACCTGTCCATCTCAACAGCTTCACCCAGCAGCAACAGAACTTGATTGGAGTTGCAGGAAACAGTCAACCAATTATGAATCTTCAGGCTGGGAATCCAGTGATGGAACATTCCAATACACACAACAACAACAACAGTAATGGGAATCCTCACCAAGCTGGTAATACAGCTGTTATACCTGGTAATGCTGTAAATCCTACTGTTATGAGTAGCAACACAACAAACCCAGTGATGGTTGGTAATCCAGGGAATCAAGTTGTTATGAGTGCCGGTGGACTGATGGTTCACAGTGGAGGAAACCCTGGGATATTGTGTCAGCCTCAGCAGAGGGTACCATCTCTGAGTGGCACGTCTGATGAAATGCAGAATGCAAGTGGTGGTGCCATTAACAGTGCTAACAAGGCACTTCAGCAGCCACAGCAACACGTTATGTACTCGGGCGTCGTTAATTCTTCAGGTTCAAGCCAAAATGCTCAGGATCTGCACATGCTAAGAGTGCAACAACAGCATCAATTTTATGGACAGCAACAAAATCAATATCAAGTTCCACAGCCCCGTTTGGAAGATCAGAGTAAGGTTCTGATGCAACAGCAGCAGTCGTCCGCAGCGCAGAATCCGAGGCAGTCGCAGCAGCAGCATCAGCAGTTTGTGTCTGTGTCAGGCAGTAATAGCGTTGGTGTTCCAGGAACAACTAATGTCTTTGTTGATCAGTATAACAGAGGACAGCAGGTAACAGGGCCCATTTCTCAACAACAACAACATCAAAATATTTTACATATGCAGCAGCAACATCATCACCAAATGCTGTCATCGGGTTCAGCTGGAGGTGGGGGGACCATGATGATGCCCCAGCAGAGAGCGCCGCCATGGCAACAGCAAAACCGTAACAGCTCCAACAGTATGGGTACAGGAACAACAGTGATGGCAATGCATCAGCAACATCATTCTCCGGTAGTTATGCCTACACCACAGCCTAACCCCTTACCGCCTCCTAGCAGTTATGACCGTGTACCTCCTCTGCATCATCACACACCTCCGCCTCCTGTCTGGGCAGAAGAAGTGTCAAGGAAGAAACCTAAGGGGTCAGGAAAATCTGGTTCAGCTAGTAGAAAACAGAGGTCATACAATATCATTGATCATCATCAGCATCATCGTGTAGGTATTACTGGGATAGCTGGAAGTGGAGGACCTACACCTATGGATTCTCATGCCCCATGTCCAAACATTGATGTTCGTCAGATTCCTGTAGAACATAACCGGCCCCCACCATCTCATCCTAATAATAATGACAGTTCTAATTATGTGGCAGGATCCAATCCTAATATCCCATCTTTCATGGAGGATCCAAGTGGATATCTTGCTCAGCAGACAGCATTGTTGAACAGCACTATTTCACGTCAGACTGGTGTTGGTGGCCCCAACTTTCTGTGTCATAGCCCAGTTCGTAATCACATAACTCCTGACCAGCAGGTGCCAAGCCCTCATAGTGCTGCCGTCAATCTTCCGACTTCCTGTTCTTCACCGACAACAGTGGGTGTTCCTCTTCCAAGTAATGTCCTTTTACCAGCCCCAAAAGGAACCTCTGGTTTCACCTCAAGGTCAAATCCAAATGTTTCTGTACAACAATCAAACCTCAATGTCCATGCTTCTCTTCAAAGTCCTATAGCTATAACATCACATCACAATATTGGTAGTCCGATTCCTACAACTTCAGTAGCCACTTCCTCTTACAGTCAGCCTCAAAACCAAGCTTCACCAATGCTCAGTGTTGGCATGCCTGACAGCAGTGCACTACCTGAACAGAGGATGGAAATGACAAATCATTGTCAGGGTTGTGTTGTTAGTTCAGGATCATTGCTGCCTGCTTCTTCATCTGGAGGTGGTTCAGGTGATAATATCTTATTCCATCATCAAATGCAGCATCAGATACAATCAGTTATGCAACCTGAACACACCAGTGCCAATCCTGGTAACCAGCATATTCACCAGCAGCAGTCACAGCAACAACATAACATGTCAAGTGAATTTAAGCATTATCATGGGCAGCTTAATTCTGGGGGAATGCCAAATGACACATTGGCCCACCAGAGTTCCAGTAATGGGACTGCAACACCTAATATTGTGCAAGAAGAGAGTCCTGTAACATCTTCAACGTTTGATAGGTTAGGAAACCCTGTGCTTCGTCACCAGGTATCAATGACATCTGACTCAAGAGGGCCAATCCAAGGTGGTACTGTTAGTACCAGTAATGGCTCACCCGTGGAGACGTATAGCTTACCGCAGCCAGAAGCATCGCCAACCTCATCCACACCAACTTCGTCACAGAATTGCCGAATCCCGGACACATCTTCAGCATCAAATAACGTCTACATTTCTTCATCTTCGTCTTCTCCGTTCACTGTACCTAACATTAGTCCACCTGGACTTTATTCCTATTCAAATCCATCACAAGGACACTTCCAAGTTCCTAGAAGTGAGACCACTGTTGCCTGTTCTTCACCAGGTATATCCAGCCATCCTGTTATGAGGCAATACCCTAACAGACCCAGTGACAACTATTGCCATCATGTACATGATCAGACAAGAGGCCAGAAATTCACAGTTCAGTCTTCAACAATGGTCACAACGATGGCAAGTGGCCATACAGTGAGCAGCAACACAATAACCTCAGTCCTAGCTGGAAAAGCAAATACTGCAACAGTGTCAGTTGGAAATCCTGCAGCACCAACTGCCAACACTCCGCCTACATCTCTAATACCTCTTCAACCTCTACCTGGACCGTCAGTGTATACAAGTCAGGCAGCCATGGTGACTGTACCACAGGCTTCTGGATCCATTCTAGCTGCACACTCGCAAGGTATGCAAGTGGCCACTGTGTCCAAGTCACCATTAGAGATGGTCCAGAGTGTTGTGAGCAGTATTCAAGTTCCTCCTCAACAGCAGCAGCAGCAGAATATGATGGGGACGGGGAATGGAGTGCAGACACAACAACAGCAGCAGCAGCAACAAGCAGCAGCTATTCTGAAATCCTCTGGGGCACCTCCTGGGCTACCTGCGGGACATATCCTTGTCTCAAGTGGTGGCCAGTTGATAATGGCAAATGCCGGAAATGTGATGACTCCCCCAGGACCTTCTGCAGGTTTAATGGCACCACCACCTCAACCTCCTCCTCCCCACTCCATGGCAAAACTTGTCAGTCATTCGTCAATGCCACCCATGTCAGTATCGCCCATGGTGACAAGCGTAACTGCAGCAGTGACTCAGGTTATCCCCGCTGTTGGAGTGGCGCAGCAAGTCTTGGGTCAGCCAACAGTCTTAGTAAATGCTTTACCAGCACCTCTTCTTATCCAGCCTAGTATGATGACTGTTGATGGAATGACAGGACTTAATCAGAATGCCATGCAGATTCCTCATCTAGCAGTTGCAACAGGAAATGTTATTCATCATTCTCAAGGACCAAACAATGCAGGGAATGGCATAAGCCAGTTGCTCGATACCATGAATCAAGATCATTCAGGCTCCAGAAATGCACAGAACACTTCTGGATATGTGCGCCACACACCTCAGCAAACATCTCTGCTTTCGCCACCTGAAATATCACATCATCCTTCGCCCACTCCCGGCAACGGGAAAAAGAAAGGAGGTAGTAAGAAGCGAAAAGTTTCTCCCCAAACTGTGGCGTCCATGTTACATATAGCGTCTCAACAGAATTCCCCGGCAGCTGCAGCTACTGCCACAGCAGCTGGCATCGTCATGCAGCAGCAACAGCAGCAGAACTTCCCACAGCAGAGTTTCACAATGTCTGGCCCACATCAGAGCATAGCCACAACTGGACCAATGCTTCAGGCACTGACCATAGTCCCTGGGAAAGGTGGAGCCCCAGCGCAGATCCTCATGAATGGGCAACCAGGCACAACTACAGGACATTTTGGCGCTCAGCAACTTATTGCTACCCCTGCCACTTCACAACCCCCACAGCAGATCAATCTTCTTCAGCCTGTGAATCTCTTGAATGGTGCAGCTGGCGTCGTTCAGAACTTCCCAACGTTTCAGCAGTTTATTGTCCCTAGTTTGGGTGGCATGGTCATGGCAACTGATGGAACCACTACCCTGCTTCCAGATGCCACCAACCTTGGGGTTCAGTTGCAGCTACAGAATGTCAATGGTCAGAATGTTCTAACTCCTGTTCAGAGTCATGGAGGAACTACAGTATTTGGTCATCCAACTGGACAAAGCATTCTTGCAGCAGGTCCCGCAGGAATGGTTATTCGCACTCCAACCACTGGAAGTAAAATGGCAACCGGGCCAATGCTGCAACAGCAAAATGGTGGAGGGCCGCAGTTCTTGGCAAGTTCCCCTAATGGAGGACAATTCCTTATGAACGGTACGGCAGCCTTTGGCGGACAGCTTAGTCCATTGGTAGCAAATGTCAGTCCGAATCAGCAGATGTCTTTCACAACAAACACTTCACCTGTAAGATCTACTACAGGAGCACACCAGCCTCAGCAAGAATTCCTACAGTGCGGACAGATGGGGCAGACCCTGATGGTACCTTGTACAGCCTCCACAACTCAGAACCATCAGAATACTACAGTAGTGCAGCAGAACACCACAATTGTCCAGCAACAGACCACAATGGTTTCCAACAACCAGCAACTTGTCACAACACCTCAGAACTTCCCTAGCAGCAACAGCAGTAGCACTGTAGCATCAGCTACCACACTGAATGTAAACCAGCAGAACTTCATTGTTGGGAGCAGTACTACACAGTGTGTCCAGGACAAGATGCAGCTGAGTCCAGTTCAGCAGAATAGTAACAGTGCATCATCACCACCACCTCCCCCTTCCAGACAAATTGGCCAGCCACCTCTAATGATGAAACACTCTGTCTCAACTCAGACTGCGGTGAACCAGAGTGTCCAGGCATCCTCATCGCCATCAGTAACACCTGGATCTCTTGTGGTAACAACCAACAGCACATTTTGTCAGACCTCGACCGCAGCTTCATCTGGTGGAAGTCCACCTGACACCACAACACACAGTCCAGTAGATCCTGGAAGTGGGGGCAATAGCATCGGTGGTAGTTGTGATACACGTGCTCTGACACCATCTGCAGATACTACTACTCATTCAACAGGTGTTGGAAGTACAGATGATGGTCTGTCATCTCCTTCACCTTCTTCCTGTCCCGTCACAGGCTCTTGCGGAGGTGTTAGTGCCACCGGAGAGAGCCTTTTAGGATGTCAGCAGTCTTCTTCTGGAATAACAGCATCTCCGATGCCCATGGTACATTGTGTGTCAAGTAGTAATGAGCAGGACACTTCAGGTGTAGGAGAACAGACTGAATATGACTGGGGAGTAAGCAGTGGTAAAGGTATGTTTGTGAGTCCAACTGTTACCGAGGGGGGATTCAGCAGCAACGCCTCAAGCCCGCATCAGACCGATTACTCTGGAAAGTACGTTGGAACCGATGTCATGATGAGTGTGACTGGTACGGGACATATGATATGTGAAAGTGAACGGAGAAAAAGTGGTGGGAACATGTACGTAGAATCCTCTACAGTCGCCGCATTCTCTTCATTTAGTGGGAGTGGTAATGGCGAGCTTCTTTCCAAGCAGCAACAAGAAGCTGTTGTCAGTTCAAGGCAGTTGTTCGAGTACAATAACAGTGATGAGAGGAGAGTTATCCCTCGGAGTAGTGTGACCCCTAAGCTCTGCACCAGTAGCAGTAACGTGGGGCTTGTTGCAACAGTGGCAGAAAGGGGTGCAAAGCGTAAACACAGTGATGCCCTGGTCGTCATGGAAACCCATCCTCATGATATTCACAGTATGGAAGAGGATGATGAAGGTAAGGCATATTGCTAGATGTAAATTTCAATCAGTTGTAGCATGCCGATATGTTGATGGTAATATTTTAACATACAGAATACTAAGTACGGTAGATTTGATTATTTGAAGCTTGACTGTGGTTATACAATATTGATGAAAATCTCATTAATTCACACATCAAAACTCTTAAATCTAAAGATGAGAAAGTAACTCATTCATGCGTTAGAGTGAAAATATAAATTTCTTTTTTCCCCTTTTGTCCATTGGGCTTGTTCTGGTTGTTTAATTTCGATTGTAAACGAACAGCATACAATCTAAAAATAATTTATGAAGTCCTCCGTCATGTGCTTTTTCATTATATTCAGTAGAATTAAACTGTTATTTAAAATGCCAGAAATTCTTGGGCACAAAAAGAAACTGAGTTTCGTTAGTTTTGTGAGGCAGTTTATTTTCTCATTTATATATATTTCAGTGATGCTTTTTATCACTTTCCATTTCATCACATGCACATTGCTCCAGGATCCACCACCTGTTTTGAATTAATGTGATTTTCTGTTTGTTAAAAAATCAGGACATTTTTTTTTATTATTATTTCAATTTGCATTTCACTTGTGTTTGTGGTATTTTTGGTTCCATGGGTCTTAGAGCATAGCTGTTTAGCTTTAATAGACATTTTGAATATTTAATTACATAAATAAGTTCATTAATGAGTATAAATACTTTCTTTTGTATTATTTGTAACATTATACTCTGTTGTTTTACTTCTTATCTCATTGTGATGGTTATTTTTGTTGTTGAATTCTCAACCTCTGTGCATGGCATGAGCGTACAGGGGCATCTGCAGCTTACTTTACGTAGCGTGCATGTTATGTGTTTGGTTGTATGTAGTGCATGATTGGTAGCGTGATATTATTATGTATGTGTATTTTGTCTTCATGTTTGTCTTGCTTGATGTATGCAACAGTCTTTAACCCATTCAGGTATGAATGTTTAATTTATGTGTATTTACCACAAAACCAGAATTGCTTTTATCAAAATAAAGAAGTACTCAGATATACATATATTTTTACCCCCTTTGCTCTTTTTGCAAACAAGACATCTCTGTTCTCATGTTGATCATGTTTTGGTGCTTTAGCACTGTCCAGTGCTTACAGTACACAGCCAACATTGTCAAGTGGATGTCTACTATAAGTATCAGCAAGTGCTATGGGGAAGTCAGTTTGCCATGACAATGCGAAATTGGACCACCATGAAAGAAGGCTGAAATCATGAGTGGGATATATCCAGCCATATGTTACAAAGTGTTTAGCAATTTGATCGCAAGTCCATGTTACTAAGGAAAGATGGTGGACGAAAGTATTACATGCATCTGTCCTGGGACCGAAATAATCAGTATCATGATTTTAGTGTTCTGGGCTGGGATGGAATAGTCTTTGTCTTGCCTCCTTTACCAACCCAACATTCACATGGAGAAACTAAAAAGAAATCTTTCTGCCTAAAAGTCCATAGATAATAGTCACACATGGACAGTGTTGTTCAGTACCTGAAGGGGAAGGATTTACCCTTAATCTGCTGTATCCAGACTGGCTCTGGTTCCCATTTACCCTTATGTCAAGTAGATATTTCTTCAAGGGTAAATTGGCCACAGCCTGAAGCTTCTTACTGCCTATTTACATTCAGGTTAAAATTATGTGAAGCTTTATAGGATTTGAGGTTCTAAAAGTAGTGGTCATGAAGAGTTCTGTCTTATGGTATATGACGACATCTGGTCCATTGAAAGTCAACCGACATTTCGGAGGAACATGTCACCCCATCTTAAGGGTCAAAGAAAAAGCGGAGCAAGGCACCAGGATGAAGTGAACAGCTGGCAGGGCTCTGCTACAAGGCATTATATCTCAGAAGATAGAACTCTTCGTGTGAAGCTTTACTCTCACTTTTCCATAACCTTCTTGATATGTTGATTAATTAGGCACAGGTGCAACTTTAGTTTCAATTCAGTTCTTTATTATTTATATTATCTTTCACAGAGACATGTCCCACTACTCTGATATATCAGCTTGCATTTTACTTGGTATATTTAACTTAGAGTTCAGCCATTTCCATTTGCTTCACTGTTTCCCCAGTACACTGTTTTGTCACCATCATAATCTTCTTTGTGGATAAATATTATTAGACTCTGTGGAGTGGAGCACAGTGCATAAATTAAATCCTATTTAATATGTTGTCACTTTAAAATATCATCTGCAAATCTGAATAACCTTCATGTAGGTTTTATATGCAGTTAATATTATTATTATTGGACAGACTGGTGTCAGATTTTATTCCTGTTTGCTTCACCAAAACAAATAACCAAGACCATCATAACAAACTGGTTCATCATAGTCTCTCTGAAAGATTTTTGATTTGTAAGAGGCATAGTGGATTTTTATTGTATTTGTATTTTTAACTGTGTTTTGACCATAATAAAATTGTGATTCAGGAAGTTTTCTACTCTCTGCACTATTCAGTGACTGTGACAAAGACAAGAGATATTTTGATAAGATCATTGCTAATCTAGGACATACGCAAGCCGGAAAGTCACGGGTTCAAGTCCCGATGAGGTCATTCAGTTTTTTTAGTTGACCTAATCGTTCCAGCCGCACTATGGCCCTGGGGTCGACTCAGCCTCTAACAGAAATGAGTACCAGGAATTAATTAAATACTTTTCCTGGGGAGTAAAGCGCGGCCGGCGCGTAAGGCTGACAACCTTGCTGCTATCTTTGAGCTGATTGTCTAGATAATGTGGGACCCTCAGTGTCACACAACCCTATGGGCCTTCGTGGCCTGCTACAGGGATAGCTTTACTTTTTTTACTTTTACATTGTTAATCTATGTATTATATAGGTTGTCCCAGTGACAGTATTTGTTGTTATTTATTGTATGTGATGTAACCTGGTTTGTTTGTTATGTAGTTACCGTATATTGATATCTTGTGTCGTTTAAAGAGTCCAGATAAACAGCGTTTATGGCACAGACTCTTGCTTAATAGTCAACAGTTTTTCAGACAGGTAGGCAGGTTCCAAACGTCCAGTATTGTGCATTCCATGGATCTTACCATGAGCCAGTTTAATTAATATCACATGTATTCCTCCAAGGTCAATTTTAATGTTATTTGTCCATTTGCTCTTAGTTGTCTCATCTATAGCAGTTTTGCAAACAGAGCTGGTTTGTAGCACCATGTAGTTCATAGAGAGCTCCATGTTTCAGAGGAACATATTACCTCTGTCTTCAGGGTCAAGGAGTAGACCAAGCAAAAAAGCCAGCAGAAACAAGATTGGCTTATTCCTCAGTCCTGAGGGTAGAGGCAACAGATTCCCTCAAAATGTTGGCCTCTCATGTTACAACTCAGAAGATGTTGCTCTTAATAGTCAATGTCATAAGAACCTCAGGTATAGCAAAGCTCTAATCATTTCTTGTTCCCCCGTTTATGCTAATTTCCTGTCTGTCTCATGCTCTTTTATTTTATCATACTAATAATATAAGTTGAAAGTGTAGGAGATGAAAGAGATCTTTAAATTCAGAATTTTAGGAATAAGCATTAAATAATATACAGTAAAACTTGGTTACAGCAACATCGGTTTCTGCGACACCTTGTCTATTGCGTCAAATATTCAATGGTACGAACTAATTCCTCATAAAGCAACTGTTTTTATACCTTGCTTAGTACGACATGCACAAATGCATCAACCTCGTATGTAACATCATTTTCATTCGTGAATTTCTCTGATATCGTGGGAAAGTTCGATGTGTCTGCCCACCCTCACTTTCTCTACTTGCTGACGTGACTGTCCTGGAAGAATACGACCGCGGGCTGCAAGAGGAGCATGAGTTTTATGCGAAAACAAGGATGTGGGGTGGGACTGCGTGAATAGTGCAAGAGGATGCGGCAGGTTGTTAACTGCATTCCTTTCCTAGAATCTCGTCTAACAGGACCTCACATTGTCTACTTACCCTATAGTGTTCCTGCCTAAACCCAGAGAAGTGCAGTAGCAAAAACATGGCAATGAAAAGGAAAGTTTTAAGCATTGAAGAGAAAGTTAAAATGATTGGTGAAATATTGTGTGTATTGTCAGTGAAAAGCGCTGTAATATGTCTTTGATATTACACATTTGGGCAATTCCACGTTAATGTTACGTTAGTCTGTACTTAACTACGTATTTCACTAAAAAGTGCAACATTTTAACTCGGTTTTTGTTGATTTTTACGTGACTACCATAAGGCTACTGTGGAAGTGCCCATTTCGTTTACGACATTCGTTTATAACGGCACTATTTTTAGGTCCCTTTGGTGACGTTATAACTAAGTTATACTGTATTATTTAAATATTTACAAAACAAGAAATTTATGAGGGTTTGAGCTTACTGTATGTTGGAGTTTGAGCCCAAGATCAGTACAGATACCAGTGGGATATATCTGTAGGTTTCTTCAGTAACATGAAGTGGGATGTACGGTAGTAATCATTGTCATCTGTCATTTCGTGTCACTGTTGAATAATGTAATTTAGCTCAGTATAAAAATGACAAATAAAAGGAGGCCGCAGAACATTTCATTATGCACCATACCTTTTTCATATATATATATATATATATATACTGACCAAGATGGTAACATTTCTGGCTATGTTGTGCAGGTGCCTGGTTCAAATCTTAGTTAAAACACCAACTACCCTGGCCAGTGTTCCTCAGTACTGCAGTCAAATGCTGGAAAGTACCTCAGTTTAGTCCTCAGCTGTTTCCTTCCATATCCTTCCTAATTTGGTATTCACAAATCATTCTACAATTTGAATGTTTAAAAACAAAGCTAATGATATTGTAATAAAATAAACCAAAAATAAATAAAATAAATTTATGGATATAAATTTTTAACGTAAAACAGAAGACTGTCAGATGTAAATTATTTTATGTCTATCTAAATCATTAGCAGTGAATATCTGTTCTTATACAGAATTCAAAGGAAAAAGAAAACACCAAAGTCAGTTGG